TTCATAAAGCTGCCATAAAGTGAGGTTCTTCCCTGCCCTTGGTCACTGCCATCTGTTCTTCACGTGGTCGTAGTGGGTGAGTCCAAGGAAAGAGAAAGAGTCCCAGAGCTGCCATTTTCTGGCAGTCCCTAGTACAATGCTTCCCAAATGCTGCATTCACACAGGATACGTACCCCAGATAACTCAGCCACATTGAACAACTAATCCAGGGTTACACGAAATTCAGGATAAAGAGGGTATAAAATAACTGCTAATATTGGATCTCACCTGAGTTAGATTCAGCTTCCTTACTCACAAGGTCACAAGAACAAAGCTGAGGCAAGACTGGTTGTGGGAACTGGTCTGAATGCAGGTGTACAGAATACATATCTTACAAATAGCTATTATTTCTAGAGTTTAACTCACATCTTTTAAAAATAATTAAATACACACTAGGCTACATAAACCTTTATAACTCTTCTTCATCTGTGATAAATGATATCAGATACAAATTCGGCTCTTTCAGATAGAAGACATACAGAATTTATTTTAAAACTTATTTGCTACAGGTCACTCTTGGCCATTGTGTAAAATGTATAGAAAACTAACAGAAAACTTGGATTGTTGATGTTTTAACTGATCAAAAATATATCCTCATTTAAAGAAAGCAGAAACATCCTGACTGCAATGGGAAAGTCTGTCCTGAAAACATTATTTCTTCAGTATACTCTACATAGTCTCACTCACCCCAGTTATCATTCAGAACGGCACAAATAGCAGCATTTTGACAGTGACCTCTTTTGGTTGCCCTGAAAATCTGTGTTTACCATGCTTGTAGCCAAGGCCTCACAGAAAGCACAAAACGTATTTTAAAAATCAGCTGAACAAAACTCAGCTATGGTTACATTATGTCCATCACCTGTCTTCTATTAATAAAGAAGCTGGATTGGTTATGGGAACAAAGCATAGCTGCAATTTTAAAACTCAGAGAAAGCCATGGAATTCAGAGAAAAAGCAAAAACAAAAAAAAGAGCCTACATTGCAGAGTACGGAGGACTGCTGTAAGTTATCCCTGAAAAAGCAGCAATACAGACTGTGGTGCGTATGTATCTATTATGTGTATGTATAGATGCATACACACACATATACACAAACGCAGAATCATCATCACTGGAAAGTGTAACTGTCAATACAGTTGCTTGTTTCATTCTGAATAAAAAGGATGAGTTAACAGATTTTCCACTGTGGCTCATAAATTTGGGCTGACTAATCTGCAAGTTTGTCTATACTTCTTCTAGTGAATTCTCTTTCATTTAACTTGCACAGAAGCAAGCTGGTTTTAATTTCCTAAGTTAGCAAAAAGCATGTAGCTTCCTACATGTTAAGAAGTTAGCCATTTTCATGCCATGTCATGCATCATCAGAACATGCTATAGAATTCTTTGTTGGTATAAAAAAAGTTCTCAAAATAACTAAATCAGAACAATGACTGATTAGAATTATTGAATTATTCTGGAAATTTTCAAGTAAAAGCTACATATAACACTTCTCAATGTTAGACATTACTTTTTCCATCTGATACAGATTTAAAATGCATAATATATACATAAATAGTAATATCCATCCAATCTTTAAGAGTATTCTGTTTTATACTCCAGTCTATATCCCCTATAATTATATCGATGGATTCTATATTAGAGAGTACATTACGTTCTGAGGGGCTAATTAGAGTAGGAAATGGAAAGATTTCATTTTAAGGAAAGGCTTCCTTTCAATTTTTACAAAAACAGAAATAGAAGAAACAGCACAAGTACTCCAGAGTAAAACTTCAACAAACAAAAAATATTCGGTGTCCTTCTGTGTTCTCTCTTGCTAAACAAACAAACAAAAACCCAGCAAACCCCCTCTCAGTAACTGTATGTATGGCACTTGCTTATCAGAATGTCATCCAGGTTAGGATTACAAGAGAATGAAATGGATCTACTGAACAGCTTTTTCTGCAGAGTGGACAGACTTAAGTGTTACCTTCGTCCACAGGTAATCCAAGATGTGCTGGGTCATCATTGATGCCGGTTTGATTAAGGTCTTGATTCAACACCTGTACATACCTAAATCGACCCTTATACAGTAGAATTCCAGCACATGGACAAGTGGACCCATTAATTATTTTAAAATACTTCTAGTACCATCTCTCCTGTAAAAGATAACCAGGGTCTTTACAGTGTACTAATGTGTCTGTTTTGCTAAAACCATGACCAATGTCTTCTCCACACTCTTTTTGATTATGAGGTCAAACAGACTGAAGTTCTACTTAGTATAACTGTGCCTTTCAGTGATTGTGTAAAGTAAAATCAACTGGATTTTATAAAGTAAAATAAACATCATGTTTTGGTAGCACATTAAATAACCAGGAACAAACTGCCAGACTCATTATAGCCAGTGTAACTTGTGTATGTTAATTCAGAAACTTTGGGTTTTTTTAAATCTCTTTCCTACATCTCCAGGAGGGTTACTATAATAAAAGATTGTCCCAAGCAGCTGTAGTCAACAAGAAAACATAAAATATCAAACTTGAAATGTTTTTCAGAGTATTTCTGAAATCACCATAGATGCATTTGCTGTTGCTTCAGAGAGTAAGACAGCACTGCAACTCTGATACCTAAATAGTAGCCATCTTGAAGAGTAAATATACTGTCTTACTAAGGGCAAATCAATTTTGTGCACTGCAGATTGGACAAAGGACAGAGGAAAGTGGCACAGAGCCAGTGAAAGGAAGAGCTCAGATCAGTAAGCAGCCATTTAGGTAAGTAAGCAGGCTTCAGAAGCACAGCTTCAGAGCCGGGCTTTGTGCAAGAACCAGGCTGCTCCTGTCCCTCCTGTCCATGGGAAGGAAGATGGCAGAGCGGCCCATCAGAACTGCTACCCTGCAAACCTCTATGCGTTTCCAGGAGTGATGATGAATGAGGCTTTCAGGGTGTCTCCAGAAGAAAAAGAGAAGCCTGCTGGCAGTTTCTGATAGTTTTTTTCTCCCTGTGTGCACTTTGTGTGACTTTTACAAGTCCCCAGTGGGATGGACTCATGCTGGATTGACTGGAGGATTTACTCTTTGACTGGGATCTGTGCCGATGTGACTGGGTGGAAATACTTGAAAATGAGAGGCATGGACCTGCCACCCCACAGAGGTGAACTTCAAGAGGCCACCCAGCCTACGAGAGCAAAGGAGAGGTAAGTAAATTAACACAACAAATAAACAAACATGCTCTCTCATTACTGCTTGCATCCTCTTAAGAATACATCATAAGTAAGCTACTGTGTAAAAATAAGTAACACATCAGTGGACAAATGCAAACATCAGAGTTACCAATCCATGCAGTAGCACCAGGAATTGGGCTCAACCTTGCTTTTAAAATGACCCAGGCTTTTACCTCTAGAGGCAAGACAATCTATATTAGCTGGTCATGAATGCTTCAGTGCTCCCTGCAGGCCAGGATCTGTGAGCTTTGTTTCCACTTCAGTTCCCAATGGAAAGGCCATTTCTGTAAAGGAACTCTGAGCTGCAGCAGCTCCTATGGGGAGCACTGTATAAGCCTGAAGTCACAGCATTTTTCAAAAATTTCCTATGTCAAATATTTAGGCTCCCAAACTAGAGCTTTTTTGTTTATTTACTGTTTTTAATTATCAGCCTATATTGAGGCAAGGCTCTGACTGAACCAAATTTATATAAACTAGGCAATATATCACAGAAGGACATGACAGTCAGTATCTAATCCTATTGGGTATAAAATATTACAGACTTGGAGCTTCAAAGTATGTCAGACATACTTCAGTCAGCAAAACACTGACTGTTCTTCCACTGTTCATTTAAGAACAAGGATATGGTCTGTATTCATTTCATAAGGCAAAGCCAAATGTTTAAATAGTTCAATTCACAATCATAATCTTCCTCTAAACAATTCTGATCCAAGACCAGCTTCAGCTAAACATCTTTGTTATCATCTTTGGACCGAATGAATCCTAGCAAAGGAAAACAACCCTTTGAAAGACAGAAAACCATCAGTGAGTTACTGCACATATTACATGCATAGCATCAGAGACAGACACCATAAAAACAACAGGTTTCACTTTTAACTCTAAATAGGCATAATACACTATTATTTTCTGAGTAAAACAACATGAACATTACTTATCACTTAGGAATAATTGTGTACAGCATACTTCAGCACTCAGAAACGAAATTTCAGTTATCTTGGAGCTATTGCTGACAAATATTGCCTTTAAAAAATCTTCAGCTCCGTAAGATAATATACAACTGAATGTGTAAGAAACACAGACATGTGGGCTTTGTTACCCTGCCACATGCCTCACTCTTAGCAGACGTTGGCACTTCTCATCTACATCCTGAGGACAACATGCTTCCAGTCATTTTGGCCAGATGAAGAGGCAAGATACTAACCCATATGGCCTTTCTCTCCTCATTAACATATGGTAACCATTTACTTAGCTTTTCACCATTTTGAGATCAAATTTTAGGGCTTCTTAGAGTCCAATCTAATAGAATACCACATTAAAAAAAGCAAAACAAGACACTCAGGACTATGCTGACTGAGAAATGATCAGCCTACACAGATTTTCTGACAATTATTCAAATTATAAAATAAAACCTAAGTGGTTTTTTTTTTCTTCCACTTTACAAATGTCTGAGGCCAAATAATTCCCTTATTTTGAGATCTAAATTAATGAAATCTTAGGCTTTTTCCTCTGAAACTTTACAATGCAATTTCTCCAAAATCAGTACAGTGCTTAAAGAGTATATAAAAAGGTTCCTAGTCCTTTCTATTACATTTCCCATGACCACAGGCACGATGTTGTATAGTTTTAAATTAAAAGAGCAGACATCAGTGATTGTTCTTTCAGTGTCATTTTAAGGGAATTATTTCAGTCTCAGTACCAAAACATGTTTTACAAGCAATGGCTTAATCATTTCTGTGTACTTTGAGAACTGACAGAAGCAAATCCAATATGCTATCGTGCTGTCACCATCCAAAGTCCCAGTGCGACATTGGCAGCCAAAAGTGCACTACCAGCAAGCAAAATTAAAAAGCCAACAAGCTCTCTGTGTTGTTTTTCTACAATCAGGGAGCTCAGAGTGGCTTCCAGGAATGAATTTAATATCCATTGACCATCCAAAGCAAAGCACGGTACAGCATTGATAACGGCCAGTGCTCCTGACAGTGAAATTAGGTACCTGGTTGACATTAATTAAGGTTCATGAATAACAACCAAGAAAATGTAAAATAAACTTTAATACAAACCATATTTTTTATTTCTACTATACAAACAAATTAGGGTTATTTTTTTTAGCTGCCATTCTGTTTCACAGAAATTATACAAGTACAATGAGTTTCACACCCTAACATACCAGCTCAGAGACTTGCCTTTATAGATTCATTTGCTTTTAAGCACTAGGCTTGGATACTTTAACAATCTGCACTCTTCACAGCTCAGATGAAAGCAGGAGACAGCAAAACCACACTTAATACTGCCCACCTTCCTTCCTTGCTTTGTGTGGTTTTGGAGGAAGCTTATAGCTCTGACACCATGCCTGAAGTAAGAAGGTATTCTACAGCGATGACCTAAGTATGAAATAATGATTAGGAATATTTTCCAAAACACTCCCTCACTGGAGTAAGTCAATGGCTAGAACATATTTGGAAATCTGGCCTCTCTCTCCTACTTACCTGTTAGCCAGAAAAATTGAGTGGATGTGCATGTGCATGTGAGAATGAGGCAAGGTTAGATAATTTTTACTGTTGGTAAAGGCTTGCTAACTTTAATACCTACCTCCATCCTATAATGGCTGGATAAGAAGGCACATGTGAACCTTGCTATGTTCCCAGAAAAGAGGAGCTTATGTAGCTTCTTTACTCTAGTTTTATGGACTACACCGAACTACGCTGCTTATTTGTTCTATAGCCACACAAACATTTCCGTTTATAAGCCTGAGAGTTCTTAGATTAGCCATATTCAAGCCTACTAACCTTTATTATGCATATATATTATCTTATTCATCAATAAGCATGTTTTAACTGAATTATCATCCTGCTTTTTGAATAGGCTGTTTTATTTTCTGTTGAAGAAAATAAATAAAGATCAACCATGCCCTGTTATTTATTTCAGTATAACGACTCAAAAATGATAAAACTCTGACGTACCAAAGCTAGCAATAACATCTCATTTGTCCTGTCATAAATTCAGGCTTACTTTGACTTTCTCATCAGAGCTGTTAAGAGTTAACCTCAAGAAAGAGTTTAAAAAAGCACTGACTAAAAATATCCTGCTAAGCACAAGAAAAGTGAGATATTTCATTCTGAGCTTGGCACATGGACAATAATCAATGCAGAGATGAGATAAAGATGTCAAAACTCTACAGAAATGTTTCAAAGCATCCTGTCTAAAATGATATCCAACTGAAATTTTGCTGGGTCACCAAATCCTGAACAGTTCCCTTCTTGTCTTAAAAGAACAAACATACTTCAAAGGATACTTGCAAAATGTCTCTATTACCACAGGCAGATCGATGCTTAGAAAGTTTTGTCGTGGTACAAAACTGCTGAGACTCACTGAAACGAAAATATAAAGATACACAAAACATGAACAAAGTAATGAACAGGCATTCCAGGATTATAACACTATGAATTTTAGACTATAATTCTGCAGAACAATCAGACCTGAAATTACATTTCTTCAAGGATGAATAATCAACCTAAAAACAGTTTTGCTTGGGTTTTGTTTTTAAAAGGAGTGCAGCCATTAAATCTTTCTTAAACGTGGTTACTAGCACAGCAAAGTCACTCCACAAAATGCAATTAGCATTATTTCAGTAAAAGTAGATCTAAGATAAACATTTTCAGAGGCAACTGGACATCTGTAGTCATAAAGATCACACTGTGTAGTTCAAGTCCTTTTCAAAGAAAAACACATAAAAAGGAGATTATAGTTACCAGAGTTTTTTAACATATGCAGTTCGCATGTATACATTCATACAGTAGGTGCACGTGTACTTTCTCTCAAGGCCAGAAAATTCTTCTCTTGCAGTACCTGCAGAAGATCCCCCCATTCTAAGGCTGAGCTCATGGTGCATAGGAGTGGGGCAGACAGGGAGTCACTGGGGCAGTCCTACAGTCACTCTGAAAAGCAAGGGCTAAGCAATGACGCAGGGGGGCGTTACATATTTGAACACCAGTTAGCCAGTACGTAAGTAGCTTCCTTTTCTGTCTTCAGATGATACCCTAAGTGACTCAAAGATGCACCTTAGTGCAACTGAAAAACCTGGGAGGTGGGAGTCAGCATCCTTCATATAAATTCAGCTGACTGCATGCCAAATGTTTATGAGAGGCTCCACAAAGAAAACAAAGAAAGCTGGAGACATCCCAGAGGGCACTCTGTTAGCACAGGGAAGCTCCATCTGAGTTGTCTCATAAAAAGTCTTGACACAGTCTTTGAAAGTAAATAGCAGTCTCAGTCTGTCAGCCTCAAGGACTGTTTGAAAGCCTTAATTCTGTGATAGGTGAAAGAGAGCCACGTCTCCTACCAGAAGGCTCCACTCACAGCACAGTGGAGACTTAACCCCAGAAGGATGCAGTTTAGGTAAATTAAGGCAGAATTAGAAATCACCTTAAAAATGAGCTTGCACAGTACAAACAACAGTCAATCTGTCCCTGAAGAAAAACTTTGGATGAGAGTTGAGGCCAGCCACAATGGCCTGAATTTTCCCTGCCAACCTGGGAAAAAGTTATAGCCATAAGAAATATTGTCTCCATAGAGATATGTGAAAGCAAGAGTTCAAATCCCACTTAATACAAACATCCCTTGGCAAAGGAACAATTTAACCCACCCTTTGAGAAATTTTAAAACCATAGGCTAAGAGAACACTGGAAAGCTTAGCACTAGTACATAACATGCCAAAAGCACTGCTAAGTTAAGAGTGAGATTAGATTTCTTCAGGTTCAATAATCAACTCAAAGACACTGGAGCAAAGACAAGGGGAAAGTAGTTCCAAAGGCACATGAGACAGAGAACTGGTCCACTCAGTCACATAAATAAATTTTCTTGTGTTAATAGAGGCCCTCCTGATGAGTCAGAGAGGGTAATTGGTACAATTAGCAAGTGAACCATAGGATGGAGAGATTTGGGTAGCAAGGAATCACAAAGAAAGAATGGGTTTGGTGTGGCAACAGAGAAGTTTCCAATACCAAAAATGCCACAGCTGTGCCAAAAAGGCTTAAAAATAATTTTTCTCTTACCTTAGCTTAAGAAAGACCTTTGATTTACGGGAACTGAGAGAAAATAAATAAGTCTGCTGGACTACTGAGTGAAGAACATAAAAGACATAAAGCCTGGACACCACCCAGCTCAGAAAGTCAGAGGCATCCAAGTCAAGTGATATCCAAAGCAAACAACTCAACAAGCTGAAGGCTGGTATCAGAACATTTGACCAGACCTCTTGTTCATGAGCCAAAATAGCAAAATGGCTGAGGCAGACAGTGTATTCAGAAGTTTCAAAAGACATACACTTCAATATAGTGTAATTTCAAAGCTGAACAAACACCTAGTGTCCACTACCAGGTCACCATCCTGAACCTGAAGTTGTGTCTACATTCTGAATGGATCACTAATCTCCTTTCCTCTTGTTACAAGAAACTGTCTGTCATCCCTGACAGCCACTAGACACAGGTCTAAACTCCAAACCTTGCTGCTGAAGCAATCTCCAAAACACAAAGAAGCTCTTCAGGAAGTTGCTGGACTGAACTCTAGACACTGTAATATGAAGCAATGAATTTAGTGGCTGTAATGGATCAAACCTAATGGCAGCACGCAGATCTGTTCCTCAAGGAATAAGAAAAGAATTACAGAAATTATGTACTCCAGGCTTGTCTGCAAAGGACACTGCTGGGAAGAGGTGAATAGCAATCAGGCTGAGTGAGACAAAACAGTCACTGTTTTCCCACTCTAATTAAACAATTCTGTGACCTGGAATTAACATTTCTTTTGTTGGCTAATGCTAGATGGTGTTGGCAAATATTGAGAAGAATGCACAACAGACACAATTTTAATTAGAAGTGATTTGGAGACTAGGTTGACCAAAGAGCTTTTCAAAACCTCTTCATGGGGGAAAGGGCATGCATGCTATGGAGGAGAGAGACAGTATGGCATGAGAAATTTCTTCGTGGTCTCCAGAAGAATGATACATGTAACCCTTTAAATATGGGTTGAAAGCAAAGAAGGATCATCCTCCACAATAAGGTGAACCAAGCATGGAAATACTGAGAAACCAGACTAACTCTTCATCAGGGATTATGGCTGTTGCCTAAAAAACTCGCCAAAGCTAAGAAGTGGCTTTGTTTAGAAGACTTGGATAAGAAGAGGCTGGTCCAGTTTGGGGAAATAATCTTCTAGGTAAGTTCCATCTTCTTTCATGAATGAAATCTTGCAGGTTTTGATCCCCGAGGGGTGATGCAAATACAGTAACATTCAGGGATATAATCTTCCCTCAAGCAGTGTGAATTCCAAATGTGAATGTTAGTCACCAGATTATTCCCAACCAAGAAAGGCCAGAGAAGGAAGTCAAGACTTTGCAATACCAGAAATGACATGAAGGAATAAAAAAACTCACATAAAATATAGAAGAAACACTGCAAAGTTGCATGGCAATAATGACAGGGCCCTCCATTTCAACCTTACATATTATCTGTCCAAAATAGGGAGAGCATCTAGAGCACTACTGGCCTGCAATAAGAAAAGTCTAAAAGTCCGGAGTAATAACACATGAATTAAACCCACGGATTACATTAGATACTTTTTACAGAGAGAATGGTAATTAAAAGGATTAATCAATATGTCCATCCTAAACAACATATATTCCTAATGATTCTTTCTGGTTTAGTTTTGGCCACATCTCCAGCACTGTAAGTTCATTCATGAGTATGAGAATTTTTATTGTATCAACAAAAAAATATTTTTGCTAGGATATTTTACTTTGAGGAAACAGAAACATTTTATAAGAAACATTTAATTTCTTGTAAATAGCTAATATGGATATAAGTTTTAAAAAATATTGTATTTGGAAGCTAGCTTCAAATCAAAATACAAAATAATTACTGCTTCTCCATAAATTGGGACTATCGTGACAATACAAGCCTAAATAGAAAATAATACGTGCAAAATCTTAGAGTGTTTTTTAAACATTACTTTAGTGAAATTACTAAAGAAACTAAAGTCATAGTACACACTAGTCCAACTCCCATATCAGATTGTGTGTTAAATGTGGAACTAATCTAAAAAGCAGTGTTTCCTGCAGGCAGAAAGATCACAGTAAAGAGTAAGGCATTTCACTAAAATGTATTCCTATTTCAAATGTCACATAGTAGGGGAAGAAATTATTTTCATATTTTAACTGTAAATAAATGGTTACCACATTTTGATCAGTCACATTTGGAAAAAAAACATTCAAACCTGTTGGCCCCAAGCCAGTATTGTACAGTGCAGAGTGAATTCTGAAATATTTAGAGGTTGTTTCATTGGAGTGCACAGAACCATACACTGCTGCCCAAGCCAGGATCCTATAATTTTAGCTCTTGTGTTTTGCCAAGGGGAGCACAGGTTGCATTTGCAGCAAAGTTTGTAATAAATAAAGTCAAGCTTTTAGCTTTCAAATTAGCACATTCAATGTGCAATTCCTAGGGTACAGTAAATCACTTTAGAATTATAATCCTGTAGATTGTATTTTCACACATTTCTTAAAGTAGAACTACCTCTTCAGATGCAATAACATTCTTATCTGACGTCTGAAAGACTGACAGGTTCAATTGTTTTGCAGAATTACTGTTCAGTAGGAAACACTGACTAAAACTCCATTGCTACAACATTTGAAAAAGGAACAATATCAATTGCTGTAGAGCACCTACAGTTTGTATTGTTAGAGGCCAAGAAAAGGAACTTAAAATAATTAATAAACTCTATTATTAAAATTTGTTGCTGCATTTGGAATAGATGTCACCAAATATAGAACTGTGTATTGATATTACACAGGTGAACAACGTTTTTCCTCCTAAATAGCAAGAGGTCAAAAACAGCACACGAAGAGATCATATTCTGGGCTTAAATAAGGGCATAAAAAAGTAGAAGTAATTTGTCACAGAGTATCAAAATACAACCAGCACAGAAAGATAAAGACCGACAGATTAACTAAAATTTATGCAAGAATGTTAATGGATTTACACTACTAGATTTCATCACTGTTTCTAAAGCTCTTATAACCTAATTCCAGTGCTTATTCGGAAAAGTACAATGCCTTGCTAAGGAAGTACTTCAAGATGCCTGAAGTAGAATCTCCCCCTGCGAGGTATAGCTGCCTGTGAGGAACAGAAAAGTTCCTCACAGGAAGGGGCAGTAGTTTAACACTTCATACTTTTTTAAGCCCATCTGAAGCTAATTTTCACCATGCCATCACTCAAGCTACTAAGTAGGAATGTAGATAAGTTTGTTCATTCTTTCCCTACTTGCTTCAAGAGCAGAATTACATTTTATTTGTATACCTGACTCAAGGATATGAACTTGTCTAAAGGAGAGCCACAGTCCATTTCAAAGTAAGGAACTAAACTGTTCTATATTATTAAATTTAGAGCACTCAAATAAATAAAAAATAATCAGGAAAAAAACCAATGTTGTGATTGTACTTGTGGCTCAGTAGTCATGGGAATCTGTCACAGATACTTGGATATTAGGTATGATTTAAGCAGTCATGTTAATATTCCAGGCAAGGCGTTAGAGCAAGATGCCTCAGAGATTTTACAATAGCATTCTGAGAAGTTGAAGAGTTAGGAAAATGCAGGTGCCTGGTTCCCATGACTAACCTGTGAGATCTGTTATAAAAATAGCCCTTTCATACTTCTCTGAAAAAACCCAACTATCTCATATCACATATGGTTTCTATTACCTTTGTAACTCATTGCACTGTGCACATTTCATTTTAGGCCTGAGTAGTCCATGTCTTTCCACTGGCTGTAACAAGAAATGGGTTCTGCATTAAACAAGTTAACTTACAAGTGCTCCAATACCTTGTTCAAGCAGCCAGGCAAAGTAAACCATATTAGAAATCTTTTTTTGTCAAACTGTTCTAATAAATAATACCAACCTGTGTACTGAAGATGCATGGGGTGTCCTACATACAGCATGTCAATATGGGGTGGATGTTTTACCCTGATTAGCCTTGTTTGGTTCTCTAAAGAAGGAGTCACACAAAGGCTTGGAACAGAGTCCTTCTGGCAGTCCACGTTGGTTCGACAAACTTTGCTGGCCTCAATAACTTTACGTGCTGGCAGACAGGCATACTGCAAAAGGCATTTGAAATTATTATCAAATTTAAAGGTATTTTCCAACAGATCAGATAAAAGGTACTATATATTCCTTTTTAAAGCAAAGGAAGCACCTCGTTGATACACTACCAGCCCATGAAGACCTGAAATCTGATTCTTTGGGGTTTTTTTGTCAAATTGTGTAGAACCTCTACCTTATATTCAACCTGCCATTCCATTTTTGGTGGAATGTGGAAGAGAGGGTATGCACATGTACCAAAATAAAAGCTAACTATTTTTAAAAAGGTACACACATGCACAACAAAAATCAAGGCAGCTAAACATAAGTCAGTGATTTCTAATGAACAGCCTGCATCAATATACTAATTGACTTACCCATTTAAGAAGTTTTCATTTTCATTGATCTAAAACCTCATTTGGCTGAACAAAATCTTATGTTCAGCAAACAAACCAAAAATCCTACTGGCTGTGTGACAGCTAAGAAACCATGCTCAACTAAGATGAGCTAAGGACTTAATGCAGTGCTGTGTCCCAAGACCTACCTATAACACTCTTCCACTCAGCAGTCTGAAAGATCAGATCTTTCTTGCTCTCCACAGGCCAAAGAGAGTACAGCAGAAAGGAACAGGAAATTGTTTTCCCCTCCTCATGTTTCTCATAAAAGCTCAGTGATATTTTTTCCTTTTGTTCTTAAACACAAGCAAGGAAAATTCTTCCTATACTGTTTGCCTTAAGAAACAACAACAAAAAAAAGATTTTCTTGCTTCTTAGCCTGATAGTTACACTCCCCATAAATGCATGAGTGTCAGACACTCTCCACTGAACTCGATGCAAGATCTTTCTATTCTAATGAGGCAGAGAGGACACACTTTCAAATACTGCTGCATAGCACTGCAAAGACTATTTAAAGTAATTGTTACAAAACTCACAGCCAATCTAAGGACACTTGAAGGTCACAGGCTTTTGGATGCTTTTATTTCTTCTCTGTTCCTAAGCAGCAGCTATGCTACTTAGAGTAGCATAAGAACGAATACTTAGAGTAGCTTAAGAATGTCAAAGCTCAGTGGGATAACGATTATCTAGCTGAACTCCAGGATGTTACCAGCCATTGTCATATTTCAAATGAACTGCTGATCTGTGCTCAATTCTTACAGGCTAAATACCACAAAACCACCCTGGAATGGGAAATTTACCATTGTAGAAACTGTACACATATAGCAGATGTAAGAACAGACTTACTTCCTTTTCTGCAGGTATTTATCATTAGAGGTCAGAACAAGAACAAACTGGTATGTGTCGAAAAGCTTACACAGTTGGTACTTGTGCTCTTTTTCTTGTAAAGAGAACTGTTAGAAATATTGCACCACTGTCAATAGGGGTCACGTATTTTAACAAACATTTCTGTATTTTGAAGAGACTAAGTCAAAATCCTACTGAGAAACTTCGTATGTTTCCAAGTGTTACAAGGAAATCAACATGATGAAAAAGGAATCAAATAGAAGCCTTGACTTTGAGAAACTGGGCAACCTCTAGGACCTCGTCTTGCATGGTTTTATTTTAATTTTGTTAGCAGCGCTGTTTGCTTCAGATAAAATAACTGAACATAGTGCAGTGCTTTGTTTTGCCTGTAGTGCTCAGTACCTTTAAAGAGTGAAGCACCAAAAAAGCAATTTGACCTTGTTCTCAAAAGCTTTTTCTTTCCAATATTCACAGAATCACAGAATGGCAGGAGTTGGAAGAGACCTCTAAAGATCATCCAGTTCAACCCCCCCTGCTGGAGCAGGATCACCTAAAGAGGATCACACAGGAACATGTCCAGACGGGTTTTGAATGTCTCCAGAGAAGGAGACTCCACAACCTCTCTGGGCAGCCTGTTCCAGTGCTCTGTTAACCACAGAGTAAAGAAGTTTTTCCTTATGTTTAGGTTGAACCTCCTGTGCGCTAGTTTGTGATCACTGCCCCTTGCCTGTCGCCAGGCACAACCAAGAAGAGTCTGGTCCCATCTTTCTGACCACTACCCTCTAGATATTTATAGGCATTAATGAGATCCCTCCTCAGTCTCCTCCAGGCTAAACAGACCCAGCTCTCATAGCCGTTTCTCATGTGGGAGATGCTCTGGTTCCCTCATCATTTTAGTGGCTCTATGCTGGACTCTCTCCAGTAGTTCCTTGTGCTTCTTGAACTTCAGATGTGGCCTCATTAGGGCAGAGTAGAGGGGAGAGTAACCTCCCTCGACCTACTGCCCACACTCTTCGTAATGCACCCCAGGATGCCATTGGCCTTCTTGGCCGTGAGGGCACATATTCTGCATCCAGTGGTGAAAATGGGGGAGGTGTCTTTCTGCCTAAGGAATGAGTGGTATAAGATCCTTTCTGGTTCTTCCAGAGACTCCTTGATTGATCATGGGAAAAATCGTAACTAATATTTTGGTTTCTAAGCCGTAAATGGGTAGAATAACACACACATAAACCTTTATTACAAACTGTAGGTATTCTGAAGCACTCGAGTATGCTGCATAATTGTGAAATATTACTGAATTAATTTAAACAATGTCAGAATTACCAAACAGGATTAGCAGTTTAAGTAACTTACCAGGTGGCTGTCCAAGTTATTGCTATATGAAAAGCAAATGTCTGTGAGGCTGTTGTTACTACAACATTCAACTGTGCCATCGAGTCTTCTATAGACTAAAGGACATAGGCATAGAGCAAATGATCAATATTATAGCAACTTCCTGAAAATAAATTAGTCTCTGAATACACATCATTCAATAGCCTTCAAGAATTACAGTAATTCATAAAGACTAGCTGTGGTTCAGCACAACTAAAAATACGCTTTACCACTTATGTGTGTGAATGTCACCTGATTTCGGTCATGTCACATGCTGATTTTTTTCACCTTAATAAACCTCCTGGAGATACTGGGGATCTACCACTGCAATTTTCTGAGCATTAAGAGTTACAAAATACTTTCATCTGTTGCTCTCAATGTGTATTAAGGTTTGCCATAGAAATTTATTACCTGTTACTGTGCTGACTTCACTGACTGGCTATGGAAATGACCAGGACTCAGAATGTCCTCTTTAAAATGTGAAAGCCTTTACAAGATTCAGGTTTCGAAAGCTTTCCAAGCCTTGAACACTGCATCAGTGAAAAGTCTGGTACAGAATCTTTGGATGTTCTTTAAATGAATTAAACCTAACTTACTCTAAAACAACAGCTTTCAAAAAAATCCCACAAAGGAACAGCCACTGCAAGAACCTGTGTCACAGCAGCTTTGTTCAACTGCAGTACCTTCGTTGGGTAGATCAAGCCTGTGATACTGGCTGCTAATTTATCACTGCATAACCTGCAATCCACTAACATGGAGTTTTATGCCTGGGGCTTACAGGTGCAAGCACTGTACCATACAATCCTTTTATTCAAGTACCTTGAGGCTAAGCAACCACATATATTTTTGAATAGTGAATGACCATGAAACTAGTTTCTGTATAAAATACGTCGAAAACACTTCTATTTTTTTTATTAATTTCAAGAAGGTCCTTGGGGCATTGTTTTCTGTCTAGCTTCATACTCAAATAGTTTACTCTCCATTTGTTTTATGGTCAAGTAGCTAGAGTCCATTTGCTAGATACATTTTTATTGATATTCTGTATTTATGTCAAGTTGTGAACTGTCAAGATTTTGACAAATGACAGCTGCTAGAGACGAAACAGAGTTCATTTCATTTCAGAGGAATATTTCTCACTGCTGGAGGCTTATGGCTCTGAAAATGCAGACAGACTGGTCTGATTAGAATGCAGCTGTGGGACAATGGGCTGCTAACACAATACAGCAACCAAGCTTGGAAGCAATATTGAGCCTCTAGTATTAAGTCTCTAGTATTTTAATCTAAATAGGACTGGTTCAGTTGCAGAATATAGCTTCATTATCCATGACTCTGAAATTGCAGAGAACAGCAGAATCCAAGTATATATACCTACAGCATCTAAGAACTGGTTCTTGTCACTCCTGCCCAGCTGAAAGCATATGCCAAAGCTGCCCTCCTCTTCAGAGGGATAATCCAAACTGTGAGATCTCTAAATTATCCATAATGTCCAGTTTAAATATTTATCTTAGTTCCAGCTGCATGATTACTTTCCTTACATACTAAAAAAAAAACCTCCAAAAAACCTTTTCAGTCTCACAAGAGAACTATAATGCATCAAAAAATATGGGTAGTCGAGATGCCTGACTTCCTGTTTACTTCCAGTATGAAGGAAAAATGCAGTGACAATTTTAACGCTCTGAATAGCATCACAGAGGTTTTGCTCAGCAGCAGCCCCTTACCTTTGGAATTCAGTCTCCATGGATGCTTGCATGAAACAAATCCTAGAGAACTTTAGGGCACGTCACAAGACATTCAGGCAATTTGACTTGACTGTTCTTTTTTGTTCTATTTAATTTTTGTTTATTGTTCTAGTTTAGTTCAGTTCACATGTTTTTGTTTCTCAGGGGAAGCCGTTACAGCGCTCTAACGTATAAATGAAAATAAAAGGAAATAGACTGTCTTCTAGCAGCAATATATGCAATCCCGACTAACTAAGTTTGTGAGCAATGACATTGTGAGGTTGAAGAAACAAATGAAACATAAAACCCATACAGTGAGACACATCAGAAGTGGCCATAATAAAGCACATCCTTGGGTTAAGCCATACAATTTGTAATGTCATGCTGATCAAAGCAGTAAGGTAATGTGTGGAATTTACATCTGCAAAAGATCAGAGTTCATCCATATAACTGACTAAAAATAGAGGAGATAATTGTATTACTGCTAATAACCAGGCTATGCAATATCCTGAAGAGGCAAATTTCATTATTCAGATCATACAGGATATTTGTATAGGATGACTGGAAGACCAGAGAAATTCTTCTATCTAGATCTTCCTTAATTTCAGATTTCACAAAAATGGATGGCATATTGGTCACTGCTTAAGATAGGAGAGCAGACTTGACTTACAAGAAATCTGTCCTCACAGATTAGGAGAAATCCTAAATCCAAAATAGTCTTTAAGACATGATAAAATTACAATATAAAATAATAAAAAGAGCACCTGAAGTCATACCTCTAGCAGGAAAGCTTAATTGCTGTAGGGTGGCTGCACTTATACAGTAGCCGACCTGTGACTTCTCCGAAATGTCTTCCAGACAGGAATTCCAGTCTTCCACACTATAGACTGGGCAGTCTTGCAGGTTAGTGACAACGTCTCCCACAAAAAGGCCTCTTGGTCCATTGGCAGGAGAATCCTGAGAAGAAACAGGGAAATCAGTCATGTTGTTATAGTTAAAACTACAAGGATTTGTTTACAGTTCTGTCGAACAGCCATGAAATCTTCAGGTGAAGACACTATTTCCAGAAAAACAGAAAATCTCAGGCTCCACTAGAACTGGTTATTTCAACTCAGGATAGAGCATTACAAAACCAAAATCCTCCACAAATAATAACTAATTTAGTGCAAAGAAAATAAAATGACAAGTCTCCAAGTGTTCCGGGAAGCCTTTTCAAATTTGAGTAATTATTTTCATGTAAGTTAATATATTGTGTTTTTTCCTACCATTTTAAGTTCAGGAAACTTAAATTAATACTTTGAATCTTTCAACACAGTAGGGTGTATCTATACTTTCAAAAGTATAAAGCATAATAAATGTAACTCTCCTCCTGAGTTATATCAGTTCACTTTTAGATCCAAGAAAGACTGAATCCTTTCAGCTCCACAAGTGCACTGTATTTGATTAAGTCTGAAAAAAATCAGTCTTTTTCAGAAACTCAGCAGTCTATCTCTACTTTGCTTCCGGCTGACCAAACAAGCAAGGAAATCAGCTCAAAATAATCTTTAACATTAAGAAGAGATAGCGATAACTAGACTGATAATGCAGTTTGCAGTAGATTTACTTGGTGCCAATATTGAAAAGAAGTTAAAAATAAACCAACAGAAAACAGAAATAAGCTTGCAAAGTCATCTCAAATGTCTGAACAGTTTTATAATATGCTGAATATTCTGTAATTATCTATGCCATGTTCCCTCATTTACTAATACTAAAAAACTGAGAGGGAACTTTAAGCAGACGGAAAGTGGAATGTATTAGATTCTCCAGAGAGCTGCACTGATCAAATTTGATTATGGTAATAAGAAACACAGGTACATTTCAGGTTACAAAGCATATAATATGAAAACATTAAAGATCTTTTCTTACCTCTGCGACCTCAGTGACAAGCGCCCCAACACCCGTGTAATAGAAAGGGAAAAGAATGGCTGGCAGCAGAAACAAAACCATGAAGCTTGCAACACCAAGAACAAAATTATGCCACACTCCTAAAAAGAAGGGGAAAAAAATCATGTTTCTAAATATACACTAATAACAAGAAGGTGTGTTTGAAATGCAGAATTCTACAGTTACCTTCTAATTAGCTTTCCTGAAATAATTACTGTAAGAGCAGATGAGAAATTAATTTGTGAACACAGGCATGAAAGAAGAATACATATATTACTTCACAAACTTAAGTTTCTATGATGTCACTTTGCAGGGGAGTTTTAGAGAAGCCTCTGAGTCCCTAAGAATTACACTCTCAGAAAACACAGGCAAAACGGTAAGTTCATTTTTAAGGTGTCTTTCTACCATATTGATATTTCGCCATGTAACACTACTTATCTTAGTATGTAGAAGGCAGAATATGCAGAAGAAAAACTGGGCTTCTGAATCAATTATTAAACTACAGCTTCTATCCACAGAGCTGTTATCAAATATAAATATGATAAAAACCTAGTGGAATGAAATGTATTACATGCTGCCTTCTACCACAATAAACTCTTGAATTTAAGAATCTGAATAAAAGGGCTTATATGTGAATAAATACTGTTTGTCCTAGTCAGCAAGGTATCAGAAATTCAGTTGTGATTCAGTATTTGTCCTGGTTATCTCCATTGTATAAAAGAAAATAATTACATGTATACGTGCCAAACAAGTTAAGAAAATTATTTGAAAAAATGGCTTATTTGAAAAGAAAATCTGGACCTAAAACCACATCAAGAAACTAAGTTGTAAAATCAGCATTTTCCCATTCATTTTGGGCAACATATTTGCAACTGCAATCTTTAGAGTATGCTGTTCTGAATAGGAAGATATGAATCACTGTCATAAGACACACTTGGCTTCCTTCAACATCCAGTACTATACAAATTTTCTCTTTTAATTTGTGTTCTTGGACAAACATTTTGTATGACCAACATAGGAAAACTTTTCAATGTTGAAGGCTCCTTATTTCCTTCTTGCGATGCTTCATCTTGTTGAGAGAGATTTGATTCAACTCTATATTTACAGTGCAGTTAGAGGACAGGAAATAAATATAATTAAAAATCATTTTAAACCTATCTTTCTTTCCTATACACAAGAATCATAACATAAGGCAGACTCTTATTTCCCTTGGTATCTCCAAATGTCACGTGGTCTTCTTTTATGTTTCTAATGCTGCAGAAATGAGAGACATTTCTGTAGTACTTTAACTAAAGGTTTGTTGCCATTTACACTAGTAGATGCTTCTTAAAGTTACTTATCTATCTGTAGTTTTTAGTCACATCTCATTGGGAGGCAATCAAATAGATGAAATGCTTCAGCATCCAGTTCTCCTTGTCTCACAAACATACTAATGCGCGTGCACACACTCACAAGTACAGCAAAACCAAAAGTATTAACTACTTATTTTAACTTTATTGTTTTAATCTTTTAATATTAAAAAAACTTATTTTTTTCCAGCTTAACTGCTTAACAAAGGATTAAAACTAAGACAGAAAAAAGACTTCCATTGTAACAGTGTGGCCGCTGGGAGATTAAACTGGAAAAAACCCCCTAAAATAATAAAAAAAGCGGTGAAGAAAATGCTAGTGTGTGACAAGGAGTACTTTCAAACAGTTAGTAAAACATGGGCCTTAATATCATCATCTATACAGTTTGCTGTGCAGAATACAGCAAAGTCTAAAACAGAAAAGCCTCAAATTAATCCCAGGTGAGCCACAGAAAAATAAACAGGCTCAAAATGAGAATACCTGTAGATGCACACTGCTGAGGATACCATCAATTTCATTTTGCTAAAACAGCCTCATCCTTGGATACTTAATTTGTTGCATATAAAAAGGGATACTTTACACAACCCTTAAAACACCTTCAAATAGTTTTTTTAAAAGTTCAACTCCTTTTTCAACTCCTTAAGACAAAACGTATTAAAAAGGCTCTCAAAAATAATACAAATATTTGAACTAATTATAAGAAGGTGCTGCACAGAAGCATTTTTCATCTACTATGCATGACAGAAGTCTTACAAGAACACTCAGTCACTATTCTTGAACTCATGATGCCATCTGCTGTACAACAAATATACTCTTTAATCTCCACAGTATAGGTGGACTACAAAAGGAATATTCAGTGTTGTTCTCTATTCTAGCTCTTTCACTTAGCTGCCATACAAAAAACTCAAAGTGTGTCTCTTTAAACTCAGATCTTCAGAACACTGAGAATAGGCTCATTCAATTGCTCTGACAATTAAGAAAAACCGAGTCAAGTTTACTGAATATCACATTTTGTCATTATCAAACATTGTAGTTCTGAAACATACTTATTGTTAGCTGTAAAAAAATGCATATATTTGCTGTACCTAGTCAATAACAAACTATTGATGTTAATGAATTTTGCAACATGCTTGTTCCTACATTGTATCCCCCTATGTTAGGTTTCACAAGAAACCTAAAAAATTATGAAGTGTTTGCTTGTCATCAAAAACAGGCAAACAACAATTTTCTATTACAGCTTATAACCTTATTTTACTAGATGATTTCTCAGGAATGGATGTAAGCAACCCATTTTGAAAATCGGTATGTCTTCTTTTTCACTTCCGTTCAGTAGCTGGAAATGGAAATTGATTAGAGAAACAGGGCTTCATAAAAGTTAGCCTATTGCAGTGAATAATTTATGTTCATTAGGGTATTTGGAATATAGATATATTTACTTACCTAATATTTATCATCATTTACTTAACTTATGAAAGCTTGAAAATATGCTTTGCTAACGTATGGCTAGCCTAAAACCCTCTTTATAATGTTTTAGTTACAATATTCAAGAAACAATGTTAATATCTAAACAGTATCACAGGCTGACTGTTATCCTACTGTCCTCTGCTGTAGAAAATAATCAGTAGCAAGAACTAAACAAAAATGCTAACTTTTCTGTCTCTATTTCAATAGTTTGGGAACCAACTTTGTGTCTAGAAATCAACAATGTAGGTGGTTCAGGTAGCATAACACAGTCTCTCTCATAACACTTTCCACAGCAACATAGCTCTACCTCCCAGTAGCCAGATGTCAAAAAAACATCAAATAAAAGACATCTGGAGGTTATTTGAAGCCACAAGGTGTGACTTGGTTTGGATCTTTGTATTTTAGCCTTTATTTCCCCCTGATGGCAACATCAAAACACAGTGACCTGTATAATAACATAATTCACACATCACTGAAAATCACTCACAGTACTATTGAAAATCACATAAGAGATTGTTCCTATTGGAGAAAATGGTAGTGAATTGCTCAAGGGTGTTCAACTGCGACAGCAAGTCATGTTCTCATACTACCAGTCTTCTGGCTGAGTATTTTCCAGCTCATGTTCACCCATGTTTTGCTACTTAGTCCATACAACATAAAAAATAAAAAGACAAAAAAAAGACAAAGACAAAGGAACTTCTGCACCTGGGGTGGTATAATAGCTTTTTCTAATGATAGAGGAAGGTCAGAAACCACATTTTTTCCCCCAACCATACAACTGGAATTTCTTATGGACAACTATTCTGAATCAGATCTAAAAATAATAGTATTTTTTAGGACAGAAAACTGCTACTCATTTAAGCTCCTAGAAACTGATGTCTCTCTTCCAGAAAACAGCATAATATGGACATTAACTATCAAATGATTTTCTGAAATCACAATTTAATTTCAGAGCACAAGGATCATAATTAGGTAACGAGAAGCTTTTGTACCTCATTTTAAGCTTTTGATCAAGGATTCACAAGTGATGCCTGTACAATAAGTAGCTGTACTAAACAAAGAATTAATAGAAGAGCACAAATTATTACCTGCACAAACTATTACCTGCACAAAATATCCTTAATTGCTGGACTGGTGATATCAGTTGCAAGTGGGTTGTGAAGAGGTCAACAAATGCTCCAGGATAGACAATGAAGATAAAAATCCCAAATCCATTAAAACGTACTTGTTCTCTTAAAAAGAAGAAAAATGAAGTGGTGTTACTGCAAACAAATGAAAAACTCAGAGGTCCAACATAGCATACATATTTTGACTATCAGAATAACTAAAACTATAATTATAAAACTTTTTTTTGTAATATGAATAACTGAAAGATAATAAAACTAAAGGATGTTTTCTGCAGTAGTTGCCACTTTTAAGCAGCACACATCTGTGGGCCTGCTAAAAAATAAAGGATAAGTTCAACTTCCTTTCTGCCTCCTATTAACAGTAACACATAAAATACCTCTTTTAAAAAAATACTTTCAAGTTAATGTATTTTTCAACATTCTGGGTTCTTTTAAGTAAAAAATGGCAGCCTGTCAGATGCAGTTTCAAACCAAACTACGAAAAATTATCTGGAAGAAGCAATTGCTCTCCTTTTAAAGAAACACTTTCTGGAATATATAATTTCTCTATTCTAAATGAAATTTAGAGTAAATTGTAAACTAACAAAAATTAGAGAAATGCCACATGAAAACATGAGAACAAGTCAAGAGGTTACAAGGACAAGTGCTATTTAAATACATTAGTAGCTGACACTGCCATACATATATATATATAATTTTTAGAGGTTTTACAATTGCTTTTAAATGGCACTTTTTGGAATAACTACAAAAAGGTGTTATGAAGCTACAAATTTCATATAGGACTTTTAGAGGCATGACAATCATGTTCCAAGACAATTACATTCCGATTATTATTCCAAGACAATCATGCTCCAAGAGAAAACAAGCATGGATAAACTAATCCCATGTCATTACTGAGACAGTTCACTGGGCATAGCATTTTATTTATTCCCATGTATTTATTAATTGTGCATATACAATAAAAGAAGACACAGAAATATGCAAACTTAATCAGAATGAAGTAATACATTAACTCCCTGGAGTTAACTCATCAGACCCAGCCATACTAACAATTAGTAACAGCCAGTCAAATACCTATACATGATTTCATGACTTGGGTAGGAGATACAGAGGGAAGAAGAAAAAGGTTATTTTGGCACAAGTCCTGACTAAGCTAAAGCTCAAATATTTTAAGCTTTTGTAGTTCACATCAATACTATATTGAATTGAATTTAATGAAATATAACAAGGGAAAGTG